ACTCTACACACACACACACACACACACACACACACACACACACGCGCACACGTACTCACTCACTCACACACACACACACACACACACACACACACACACACACACACACACACTCACACACACACTCACACACGCGTGCGCACACACACACTAGCTGAAATAAAATATATATTTTAAATGTTTTATTTCAGTTCATGTTTTACCTCAAGTTTTTTCTCATGGTTTTAGTTTTAGTTAATGATAACTCTGATAGCATGAGTGATTCAAATCACACACATATTATAAATCTAACTATGCACATTTACTATGAGACTTTTATTTATTGTTCTGCAGTTGCAGGTTAATTTAACCCTTTTTCGGAGACGCCACAAACCCACAGAGAGCAGACTGAAGCAGTCAGCGGGGACCAGCAGAATATCTGCTTTTGTGTTCAACAGAGGAAACAAACTCATGCAGGTTCAGAACAACATGACGGAGAGCAAATGATGACAGAATTTATATTTTTGGGTGAACTATCACTTTAAATGTATTAACAATGTATGTTTATGCTTTGAAACATAATTTAAAAGTATATAATTGGATCTGCATTATTACAGCGAAAGCTAAAGTTTTACTAGAGTAACCAGTGTTTCTGCTGTGAGTGCACAGAGAAGCACATGATGAAGATGTGCAGGTGTGTGTGTGTCTCGTCATCATCATCATCATCATCATCACGGCTGTCTGTCTCTCTGATAATCTGTCGTGTGTCTGTCAGCACTTTGCAGAAGCAGACAGACGGATTGGACTTAAATCCTCCAGTACAACACAGATGGACAAAACACACAGACCTTGGAGAAGGTGAACACACACACACACACACACACACTCACACAGACACACACTCAAACACATTCACACACTCAAACACATTCACACATACACACACACACACACACACACACAAACACTCAAACACACACACTTACACACACTCAAACACACACACACTCACACAGACTTACACACACTCAAACACACACACACACACACACACGCACACGCACACACTTACACACGCACATACTTAAGACACACACACACACACAGAGAGAGAAGAACACAACCCGCTGAAGGAGAGAAGTCTGTGAAATGAGTGTGAATATCAATCATCGTGACTCTGGCGCCACCAGCTGGACAAACAGGAGACACACCAGACACACATGCAGGATCAGGAAGTGTGAATATTACTCAACAAGGCTGTTTAGACTGACAAAATTGATTTATTAGATGATTAGTGGACTGTCTGCTGCTTTATAGACTGAGAGTTTGTCATTCATCAGTAACACACCAAATACAGTCGGAGTCAAACTAGAAAACACAAGCTGAGGATGGATGAGCAAACGCTTCAATGACGGATGCTTTCAGGACTGTAAAAACACAGTAAACCTGACAGTTACTCTCTCTCCGCAATCGCCACCAGATGACGCTCGATTTCTGCTTCTGACAGAGTCCTGAAACACACACACACACACACACACACACAGAGATGACGTTAAACTGCTTCACATCTCTCTCTGTGCTCAGGTTTGCTCTTCATTCTCTCTCTGAACCTGAATTTGGGGTGTTCTTTGGTCACGACAGACACTTCCAGCTCAGTGCTTTTGAAGTCCATTGAAAGCACAGAAGACAAACATGAGATCGCCATCTAGAGGACAGGAGACAGGCGTGATACAATATTAAACCAACACAAACCTCAACATCTGAACTATGAATATTATTACACAATGCTGTGTTTAAAACCTGATTATGATTCATCAATGATGTCCTTCTGTGGCGTAATGTTTTACAATAATGAGCCACTGATGATATATTATTCCATTACTAATTTATATCTAAAAATTGGAGAAATAAATAAAAACTGATCAACAGAACATCTTTGTAGCACATGAAATTATCACACTGTACCTGGTTACATTCAAGGCTACTACAGCTAAAACTAAACCAAAAAATATATATATATATATTACTTGAAATAAAATAAGTGTTAACTGAAATAAAATATTAAATCTTAAGTTATTAATATTAAGTTGTTTTTTTCAGCTAGCTGTCAAGGAAACATTTCTCATTTTCAAATAACTAAAAATAAATAAACTAAAACTAATAAATAAAAACTATATATATATATATATATATATACACACTAAAACTATATATATAACTAATAACAATGAAAAAAGCACAATGAAATTACTATTACTACTACTTAAAATAAAAACAAAATATGAAAATGAAATCTAATTCAAAATATTAATAAAACTATAATAGCATATTAATGATACTAAAATAATACTGGTTACCATTTTATTATATTATAAAATTTTATACATACATCATATTATAATATAGTATGTTCTATACATTATTAACTATAGTCAGCTGAACATTTATATTTATAATATATTATATTATTTTAAATATTATTAATTATAACTATAATAATATATTATAGTTAGTAATGTAGTAATGTATTCCAGAAGCTTGAAATATCTTTGTATCAATATATATAAATATTAAATATAAATATATATATATATATATTGAATCAATACTTTCGTCGAAACATTTCTGATTATTATCAATGTTGAAAACAGTTGTGCTGCACAATATTTTTGTGGAAACTTTGTGAATTTTGTGCTTGATTAAAGAATAAACGTAATGTATATCGGTGTGCGTCACACACCTCCACGGTCCTGTCGCAGGGCAGATCCGGCTGCTTCTTCAGCTTCTTCTCCAGGTAACTGCTGGCCTCGTGGTGTTTGACCCCGACGCTGGTGGCCCTGAAGCCGCAGAAGTACCCGGCCGGGTCACATTTATACAGCACGGGGCCCGTCTGAGGGTCCATCGCGATCAGCATCATACCTGAACGACAGACAGCATCCCGTCAAACCCGCAGCAACCCGTCAAGACCGTATCTGAGATAAGAAGACACTCACAGCAGCCCAGCGGCCTCATCTCTGCGTTCTGTGTGTAAACCTGAGAGATGTCCGCCATACGCCGGCACAGCATGTCCGCCTTTATAACTCATCCGTTTAAATTATATTAAGCCTTAAAGTTCTGCATAATTAAGGGCGTGGCCACTTGAGTGACAGGTGGATTGCCGCTGCTGTCACCGCCGTCGAGCTAGGTGGGCGTGGTTTCAGCAACCTGCTCCCGCCCCATTTTCAATTATCTGGGAGTGACGCTCTGCCAAGATGGCGATGGCCGGCTCCGCCCACTTTTGAGCTTCAAAAACTCTCTTCGGAAATCTACGGGTGACGTCACGGACACTACGTCCATGTTTTTATACAGTCTATGGCGTCAACACATCATCCGCATCTCTACATCACGAACATCAGTCGTTTCGAGATCTATTTAACCCCTTAACTGTCGCGGGACGCCTAAATTTACTTCAATACATTACAATTAAATCCTAATCTAATCATGAAAAACTATTTCGTTGGAAAGATCTGAGACTCCTAAATACATATTTTACCTCTGCTTGTTGTTAAAATTATGGAGGAGCAGTAATAGATTAATTTATGACAAGAGTGCACCTCAAAACATATACACCGTAACAGGAGCTCTGACCTTTGTCACAAAAATTCTATTCGTTTCCTTTTTTCCTATCACGTTTTAGTAAACATCATATATTATATTTCATTTGAAAGCTTAAAACCTCAAAATTCATCCTTGTGAAAACCGTTGTGAAATCGGACATTGCGTTACCATGGAAATGGTACTTTAAATCTTTTAGTGGGCTCCTCCCCCCTAGTGCGGGGTGTCATATTACAAAATGTGTTATGGTCTTTTGGAATCAAAACTTTTTAGAATCTTGACAAAATACATATCGTCGGAAAGGTCTGAGTCTCAAGATTCCATATTTGGTGATTATTTTGTGATAGGAGTAATAGCGTGAGAGAAATTTATACATTTGTGACAGAAAAATGCATCAAAAAAATTCAATGGGGTTTGGATGGCACCCGGTGGCTGTTTGTGGTATAACGCCTAAACAAAATTGCATAGGAACCTCAATTTTTTTATATCAACTTCAAATTTGGAACACAACTTATTTAGACATATGGCTTTAATTTTATGCTAAATTTTGATTAAAACCTATTTTGTAAAATATTTATTTGATATTAAATAAAATAAAAATAGTACAGTACATTTTCTTTATAGTAAATTTAAACTTCTATAACTTTTTTTACTTTCATTTTTTGAAATGATTTCACTTCGGCAATAATCTGCTGATTGTCATCTTTAAAAAGAGACCAACCTTAGGTCTGTATTCAAAGCGTTCATGAATTATAACAATTTAAGTTTGAATAGTGCACTTTGAAGTCT